GTTTACGTTTACGCGAAATTTACGTTTACGTGACCTCCAAAAACGTAAGAGCCCAACTTAGAAGATTCGGTCGGCTCATGGGGAATAATAGGTTGTTTCCTCTTGCCACGGTTGAGGAGGACGTCCTTGAGGTCAAGGCCCTGCACGTCACGGCTCAGGAGGTGCTTGTCAACTCCGTAGCTCCACGCCTTGAAGTTGGAGCTAGAGCCATCAGCTTCAAGGCGGAGCGGGGTGATGGGGTTGGCCATGGTGGAAGACGAGAGAGCCATGATGAAGACCCCTTTGCTTCTCGCGCGGAGCGCCGCTCTTAAGTCACCGATAGGAACTTCGACGGACCGGAATAGCAAAAATCGTCAATGTCGGCCGCGTCGAAATGTCACGTAGAAGGATTTTTCAGGCCGCCAAAATTAGGTCGAATCGGCCGATTTCCGTAGATCTAACACTAATCCCACACACCCCCCCACACACCACCCTCAGCTTCGCGGCTGCGCTGCTGCTCGGCTTCGCGGCTACACGGCTGCTCTGCTTCGCGGCTACACGGCTGCTCGGCTGCGCTGCTGCACCTGTTCAGCTGCGGGAAGGGGGAAGGGGTAGGAGTGCAGATGCGGGGCGACGGGCGGCAGCCCGACGTGAAGCTGCGGGGCGACGGGCGGCGGCCCGACGTGAAGCTGCGGGGCGACGGGCGGCGGCCCGACGAGAAGCTGCGGGGCGACGGGCGGCGGCCCGACGAGAAGCTGCAGGGCGACGAATTGAAGTTGGAAAACGAGCGTTAGGTTATAGCGCGGACGATGCGCTTACCAGAGAAATTTCCGCCGAAAGCGACGGGAAGGTGCAGCGGGAGAATTTCCGCCGACGAATGTCGCGAATCACCGGCGACGAGGTTGACGATGGCTTCGCCGAGGTTTGCGGGACGAGTATCCGCAGAGGTAAGAAGATCACGATCCGCGTATGCGGTTGAAGGGCTCTGATACCATGTCAGAAATAGGCTTAGAAGTGATACATTAGTAATGAGCTTGAAGCTCTTTAAGTACATCCAAGAGAAGTAGGAAAAGGAAGGGGAAGGGAATCGGGGGCAATCTCTAGGGATTGGGGGTAATCCCAAGGCAATCTCCAATTGGTGGGTTGGAGATTGGTTGGAGATTACATTTGGGTTTGGTTGGGATGTAGGTGTACACCCAACCAAACACAATGTGCAAACTACACTACTCTAGGATATAGAAAATACAAAGTACAAATTGTGAGATTGAAGACTAACACTAACAGTTGAGAGGTTTGTAAAATTCAAATTTGGTTGAAGGGGTACGAAATGTTGGGGGGGCTGTTTTTCAATGTCGAATTGGGCAAGGGGGGGTCGAAATTTCGTGATTTCGACAGTCGAATGTGTATTTCGCGATCTCGACATTTTCTTATCTGGGCAACCCGAAAAAAATCCGATGTGCGTCCAACGTCTGGACGCGCGTCCTGCGTCCGAGCGTCCAGACGCTGCGTCCAGACGCAGGACGCAGCGTCCCCCTAGCGTCTTTCTCAACATAGCTGGAAAGAGCAGGATGAGGGGGTGCAGAGGAGTGAAGGAGGGTGGTGGATGGGCATATTGGATGGGTAGGGCCTAGCCCAACATCCAGTTGACCTGGTTTGGAAGCATGGAAGAGCAGCACTCACAGGTGCGTGAGGTCGGTGAGAGTAGCGATGGATGGAATGGGCCCGACCAGATAAAGGTAGGTCATATCACTGCGGGATGGGATGGGAGCGCATGAACAGCAGCGGAGGTGGCAAGAGGAAGATAAGATGGAGTTTTGAGATCTGTGGCATTAAAGGTGTTGCAGCTTGTGGTCCGTCCAGCTAGGCTAGTGCGCAAGGGAGGCATGCAAGGGCTGGAAGAGGGAATGGTCAGTAGGGTTGAATGCGAACGAGGTTGGGGCCATGGCAAACGACGGAAAGGTTGGGGTTGAATGCGAAGAGCGGTACGAGGTTGGGGCGAGGCCATGGCAAACGACGGAAAGGTATGGTAGATGCAATGCAAGATGGAGGGAGACGGAGCATGGGTGGTGACGCACAAGAGTTGCAGAGTGGAAAGTCCGGTGATGGAGGCAGGCATGGAAGGACTGGGGAAATCCCAATTAGGCTGCAATTTTTTTGAGTCCGTGCCAATACACGCATGCATGCACACAATACCAACCAGCTCCCATTCCTCCCCCATCTCCCGCCCACCCCAGTTCCCTTCCCCAGGTTCCAAGTCCTCCCCCATCCCACCCCCCACATCCTTCAACCCACTCCCCTTTGTCCGGATTGCAATGCTCCCACAAGCACACAAGATCCAACACGACCATTGCAAGAGGAGCAGACAGAGGAAGCGTGGTACAGTGAAACACTGTGGGGGAAAGGAGAGGACAGAGGGGGGCAATGAGGGGTAACGACGGAGTACTGAGGGGGGATACGCCCGGTGCCTTCGACTAGGTTGGCCAAAACGAGGGATTTTCAGCGCCGCAACCCCTTGGTGGTGTAAGGGGTCAACGTCCTGGAGGCATAACACCCGTGCTGCCCTGGAGTCAACGTCCTCGTTGGATCAGGGGGTCGGCTTCGCAGGGACCTCGGAATTCAATTTTCGCTCCACCGCATTTTCAGGCGAAAAACATGGCTAGCTGGATTCGAACCCTAGGCTATGCATACAAATAGAACTCCCTGTGCCATAGATCACAGCGGAATCGGGAGGTAATTTTAGCAACGAGTGCCACTTAGGAAAGGTTAATAAAGGGCTAACACACAGCACCGAGCAAAAGATCGTCAACGAGGAGGGCGACGATGATACTCACAGGGAAACGACGAGCCCGTTGGGGCTGCAGGTGATGCCATCCCATGCAGAGCACGCCGTGGTGGCGTTGCTGTTGCCCGCCCAAACGCCCCACGCCTCCTTCAGCTGCAGTAGCACCTTCACTGCCGATGCAGATTGGAGCACATTCATGCAATTGGGAGTGATGGTGGTGGGGGGGGGGGGGGGGGGGGGGGGGGGCACGCAGTGGTGAAAGTGCAGTTGCCCGCCCAAACGCCCCAAGCCGCCTTCAGCTGCAGCAGCACCTTCACCTGGCGGCACAACGTGGAAATGGGAGCACGTTTACTGTAGCAAAAAAGGGCGGGGGGCTTTGGCGTCACATGCCCGCACGTGCGAGGCGACTTTTGAGTCGACTCAAAAGTCACTTTGACGGCACTTCTACCTCCGTGCTACCGGCACGTGCGCCTGGGCTGGGTCGGTGTGACGTCGCACTTTGAAGGGCGGCCCGCGCTTTGAGGTCGGATTCTCTATGTAACGCCTGTGGGCGGGCTAGTGTGGATAATGTTAAGGTCATTCCGCTGCGCCAAAATAACACTCTCGTTTTGACACCCTGGTTGACAGTAGCGAGATGTTATACTCTCTCTGCTCATGACGAGAAGCTCTGAGAGTGTGATATCGCGTGAGGAAGCGCGCTGAGCTCTCAGTGTGAGGAAGCGCGCTGAGCTCCCAGAGTGAGGAAGCGTGCTGAGAGCCTGGACTGGACAAACCGACTCACGTTGCGAGCTTTCGAGAACGATTTCAGCGCTCGCGTCGGCCCCGGCAGCAGCGCCGCCGGTAGCGGCGAGCTTCAAAAGAGAGCGTCGGGCACGGCTGGGCCGAGCGCGAGACAGCAAGCGTTGTTTGGACAGAAGCCGCTGTGGGGCATCTCGGCGCGGCGGTGGGCGATAACTAGTAGTAGTAGTAGTAGTAGTAGCGCCGTGCGTGGTGCTGGAAATCGAGCAAGCAGCAGCGCCGACAGTGAGCGTGAGGGCTGCGAGGAGGAGAACGCAGGCTCCGACATTAGCGCGTGCGGCGGCACGCCCGGGAAAACGCATTTTTGAGGCATGCGAACTCAGAATCGGAGTCGACTGACAAAGGAGAGTCTGGCAGGTCAAAACTTCTGGCAAACAAAAGTTCATCGCCGCGGAAGCATTGGCCCCAATTCGAGTAGTAAAAGCCTAAACTTTGCTAGAAAGTTGCTGCTGGGTTGTAGCGAGGGTAGGAGCTCGACGGGGTGGAGCTACGGGGTGGGCCGTGCGGTGCGGGAGGTGGTGAAGGAGGAGGATTTCGGTTAGGGAGGGGATAGAACACGCCTGCCGAACCAATGCCATCGGACTCTACAGATCGGGTTAGGTGAGATAAGCTCGAAGCGTGTGGTATGTGGATGGGAGCATTCGTGGAAAAGAGCCGGCATCTGGAATCGCGAATACCTAGTAAGCGACCCAGCACGTAACCTTTGTGCGGTTAAAAACGGTCAAATCGTATACTTCTATGTTACAGCTCGTTATTGTGCGATGACTGCCCGAACTTTTATGGGGTCGTGAAGCAATGCTGAAAATCCTTTACAGAAATTTCTTTTACAACTCACAACACCTTTGAGTGCACTTTTAAATCGAACACGCGATAGAGAAATATGAATACCATACAACTGGCTGCTGCACATTCAGCTCGGCCCAACCATCACCTAGAGGCAGTACCGTATCGAGTCGAGAGAGCCCAGCGCCATACACTGCCTGTTGCACCCATCCACCAACCTCTCCGCCCATCCTCCCCCCTCCTCTTCCCGTCCTCCCCGGCCATCCCTTTCCGCCTCCCCGCTAGCTTCCCCCGCAGCTGCGACGCTGCGACATTGCTGCTGGCCGTTGTGCAGTTTCACCTTACGTCGCACCAGCAGCACGGAACCGTACAGATATGTGGTGTAACGGACACCTATCCATTCCATTGCCATTTATCATGGCGCAGCGAGGCCTCATCAGACAGATATAGCCTATTATTTCCACATGCACGCGACACTAAGTAAGTCGTATGTGAAGTCAGGCATCGACTCGCTTCCCAGATTTCGCCTCTCGCCTTGCCCAGGCTTGCTCGGGTAGCCAAGAGAGTGCAGGCCGAGGGACGCCCGAAATAGTCGGGCGACGCCTCCATCAGCTGGGCGAGGCCGCAGTTAACCAAGCGACGGCGAATTGGCCAGGCAATGGATTCTCGCTCGTCGCCCGTCGTCGCCGAGTCTCCCGACGACGATTCCGCCTCTCCAATCCATTCGCTATCCGACGATCTTCTCACCTCCATCCTCCGCGTAGTCCTCTCCGCCAATCCCACCGCATCCGATACAAGCACATCCGATATAAGCACCAGCGATTCTCGCACACCGTACCAAGCGGCTCTGGTCTGCAAGCGCTGGTCCCGCGTCGCGCCTCTCGCGCTCACCTCCCTCACAGTTCTCTCCGCCTCTTCCGCCGCCTCCTTTTCCCCCAAACGCGAGCTGCTCTGCCGCCGTCTCGAGCAGGCGCTACGCAAGTTTCCGAATCTGACTCGCCTGCACCTCGACAGCCACACGATCGACTTCATCGACGATCGCTTCCTGCGCGGCCTAGGCTCGGCATGCCCGAACCTGACGTACCTCTTTCTCGGCAAGGTTCGGCTGCCGGTTCGGCCGCCGCTCGTCGACGCGGTGAGCGAGGCGGGCCTCGCGAGCGTGTTTCGCGGATGCAGGCGGCTCGAGCACGTGAGCGTGCACTGCGCGCCGAACATCAAAGCGCTCCCCGCGTCGCTCCTCGATCTTTCCGCGCTGCGCCGGCTGCAGCTCGAAGCGCCGAGTTTGAAGCTATTCCCGGAAGTCTCCCGGGGGAGATTAAGTTCGCTCCGCGATTTGCGGCTGCTGTCGTGCAATGCGCTGCCGTGCCTGCCGGACTCTCTAGGCGACCTGGCGGGTCTCACGCATCTGCGCATCGAGAAATCCGACAATCTCGAGCAGCTGCCGGATTCGTTATGCGACCTGCAGCTGCTCGACGTCCTCGTTATAAGCTCCTGCTACTGGCTCACGTCGCTGCCCGACGATCTCGGGCAGCTTCCGTGCTTGCGCGTGCTCGAGTTGGACGGCTGCGGAGGTTTGCTCGAGCTGCCCGGTTCGCTGCCGCAACTGCACTCGCTCGAACGACTCGTTATAAGCCGATGCGGTAACCTTACACTTTTGCCCGAAGATATCGGGCAGTTACCACTCTTACGCGAATTAGAAATCAGCAAGTGTCATCGACTAGTCGGCCTCCCGCCATCCCTGCCCGACCTAGCCCAGCTCGAGTTCCTGGAAGTTTCCGACTGCACGCGTTTAGAATCTCTCCCGGACGATCTAGGCCGTCTATCCGTTCTTAAAACCCTGCGCCTCGCCTCGCTTCCTAATCTCTCCTCTCTGCCCGAAACCCTAGACCAGCTCACATGTCTGGGGGAGCTCCAATTAGAAGACATCGACAGTCTTTTAGGCTTGCCCGACCCGCTAACGAGCCTCGGGCAGCTGGAAAAACTCGTTCTGGGGCTGTCCTGCGCGCCGAGCCTGCCCGAATCCGTAGGCGCGCTGACGCGTTTGAAAGAGCTGCAGCTGCGGCACTGTAAGGGGTTAACGAGTCTGCCTGTAGCGATGCGCGCGATGACGCGATTAGAGCGGCTGGTGGTGGAGGAGTGCTGCGAGCTGGTCGCGCTTCGGCTGCCTGAAGTGGAGGGCGTGGGTACGTCTGGAGGGGAGGGAGGAGGGCAAGCTGTGCACGCGGAATCCGGAAGCGGGGGATGGGCAGCTGAGCAGCAGGAGGAAAGGCAGCGGCAGGCGCAGAAGCGGGGGCATCAGGGGCAGCAGAGGCAAGAGCAGGGTCAGAAATTTGGGTTGGATGCAATAGCCGACTCCGCTCCGCTCCCAACCACTCTCACTGACGGACTCAGCCGTCTCACTCTCATGACCAAATCTCCTCATCCCCCCTCCTCCCCCTTCCCCTTTTGCACCTCCGACCTCCCCCTCGCCTCCCCTCGCCTCCGCGCCCTCATTCTCATTGGCTGCGCGTCCCTGCGCGCCCTCCCCGCGTCCCTGACAGCCCTGGCTGAGCTGGAGCGGCTGGTGGTAACCAGGTGCACCGCGTTACAGTGGGCGCCGGGGAACATGGCTCAGATGCAGGGGCTGCGGGAGCTGAGGCTGGATGGGTGCAGAACGGTGCTGCTGCCGCCGTCGCTGGCGTGCTTGGGGCGGCTGGAGAGGCTGATTGTAGTGAGTAATGGGTGTAGTGGGAGCGGCGTGGGGGCGGGGATGGGGGTGGACGTAGATGGTAGCATCGATGGTGGCAGCAGCAGCAGCGAGAGTGGACATGGCTGTGTGAAAACCACGGAATGCGCTGCAGACAGTTGTAGCACTCGAAAGAGTGGTGGTGTAGCTGGTGAGGGTGAAAGGGGGGAAGCAGGAAAACCACACAGCATCCCAACCCGTCTGTCACCGGCCGGCAGTGACACCACCAGGTGTGGCACAGAGACAGGTAGCAGCAGCAACGGCAGCAGCGGCGACAGCAGTACCTATAGTGGTAACAGCAACAGCATGAGCACAAGCAGCAGCTGCAACGGAGGCAGTAATGGGTTCATCGTATCACAGTCACACCCTCAGCAGCACAACCACCTGCACCCGAATCCCCACTCACACGCACCTCCCTCACACGATTCTTTACCTGCCCTTATCCCATCCAATGCAACCGAAACCCCCTCCTCTGCCCACGAGCCCTTCTCCTCCTTCCTCCCCGCGCGGGCCCTAGCTCTCCCCCCCGGCATGGGCCAGCTGGCGCAGCTGAGGGAGCTGGAGGTGAGCGGCTTTGACTCCCTCTCTGCTCTGCCACCCTCCCTTGCCTCCTTATCCCGCCTCACCCGCCTCTGCCTCACCGGATCCCTCAAGCTCGCCTCCCTGCCTGACCTCCCCTGCGGTGCCGTTGCTGCTGGTTTTGACTCCTCCTTCTCCCTCATAGCCCCTTCTTCCACGGCTCCCAACAGCAACGGCACCTTCTTCCTCCATCTCACCAACCTGCGAGACCTGCAGCTCGATTCCTGCCTCTCCCTCTCCGCCCTCCCCGCCTCCCTCTCCTCTCTCTCCTCCCTCACCCGCCTCCACCTCGCCTCCTGCTCCTCCCTCTCCGCCCTCCCCCCACGCCTCTCCTCCCTCTCCCACCTCCGCTCCCTCAACCTCCAAGAGTGCATCTCCCTCACCTCCCTCCCCCCCTCCCTCTCCTCACTCGTCCGCCTGGAAGGGCTTTACCTCAAGGGCTGTATCCAGCTGAAAAGCCTTCCAGACGACATCGGCTATTTGCCGAGGCTCAGGGAGTTGGATCTGAGGGACTGTGAGGGGTTGCTGGCCCTGCCGGGGTCGATCACACACCTTACAGGGCTCAAGTGGCTGGATATCTTTGGATGTAGTCGTTTGGATAAGGACTCGGTTCCTGCAAGGATAGGCCTAGCCACGATCTATCGGAGCTAGGGTGCTTGGGGTTGTGGCAAAGTGAGGCTTGTACCGGTAGTTCCAGGATTTAATGTAGTTGGCAAAATTTGGCTTACATCTTTAGGTGGGTCATTATGGAGCAGGAACTGTTCTGCTTTCCTAAATCAGCACTTAGTGCTGGCCGCTACAGCGCGTACACGTTGACAATTTTCTTGTGGGTGCCGCGATTTGTGGAGGACAAATTCGGGATGCTCTCGTCTCGAGGTGCCGCGCGATTTATGTCGCACAATCCACCCCCCCAAGCGATCCAATTCCAATTCCAACCTACCAACCAAGGGAATCCCGTTTTCCGTCTCAACGACGTTTTCCGTCTCGACAACGTTTTCCGTCTCGACAACGTTTTCCGTCTCAACAACGTTTTCCGTCTCGACAACGTTTGCCGTTTTGAATCCTTTCTCGCTCGATGCTCCCGTTCATCTGTCGCTCCGCGCCCGTTCTCTCCCTCGCTTCCGCGTCGCCTCCGCGGCCGTTCTCTCCCCCACTTCCGCGTCGCCTCCGCGCCCGTTCTCTCCCCCATTTCCGCGTCGCCTCCGCGCCCGTTCACTCCCTCACTTCCACGTCGCTTTCCTATCACTCCGTTCCCCAGCGCGAACCTCTCGCATTCCGCTCGCGCCGAGCCAAGAGTCATCCTCACAGCCTAGATCTCGATCCGTTCCGTTCTCTTGTCGCCGGTTAGCCTGTCGCAATTTTTGTCGCATTCCTGTCGCACTGATGTCGCCCAAAGTCGCACACCGTCGCTCCGACCTACGGGTCCGCATAACCTAGATCTCATTCCTTTCCTCCTCACGTCGCTCCGCGCCCGTTAGCCTCTCCTATTCTTCTCGCCGCCGCACGTATTAGCCTGTTGCAGTCGCATCGCACAAATTCGACTGCCGCCGCGCGCGGCCGTCATCGATGGTGCGTTTCCCCTCGTCCCGCGTGCCGCCGGGCGTGGCGAGGGCGCTGCTGGGGGCGGCGTGGGTGGCGGGATGGGCGGGGCTGTGCGCGTGGGTGGTGTGGTTCGCGCACTCGCAGGCCGCCAATCCGCGCCAGGAGGCGATGCGAGCGTGGTGTCGCACGCGCGTGCGATACCTCCAGCAGGACATGCGATCGTCCGTCGCCCGCGCGCAGGTAGGCGATCAGCCCACCGGCGATGCCCCCCCTTACGGGCGTAGGTGGTAGCGCCCCATTGCACTTATGCGCGCGGGCCATCCGTGCAGGTCCCCCATCCGCACATGCACGCGCATCCGCACAGGCACGCGCATCCGCGCAGGTACTGCTGCTGCATTGGGGGTTGAATGTTACACGAAGGGTTACCACTGCCCGGCTTGTGTGTAAATTTCGTTTTTTACCCAGTGGTATAGGTTGGTATAAGAAGGGTAGCCACCGCTCAGAGCTTAGGGTTCGAATCCCAGCTGGTCACACTCTCCGCCCGACTAACTGGTCGTAACGAGAATCTGGTGTGGTAACGTAGTGTGATGCCCAGTAACCTTTTGCTGCTGGCCTGACCCTCCCCAGCAAAGTCGTTGCCTTGCCTCCTCTGAAGGTGCACATGATTCATTGAATGTGCACAGGTGGGCAGCAGGTAGACAGGTGGGCAGGGCAGCAGGTGGACAGGTGGGCAGCAGGTGGACAGGTGGGCAGCAGGTGGGCAGCAGGTGGACCAACTCCCTGATCCAACGAGGGCATTGGCCCTAGGGGGGGAGATAGTTGTTGTAACGAAGTCCCAGTTTCCACTCCCCCCCCCCCCCCCCACTCTTTTCCCCTCTTGAATTCCATTTTCCCCCTCTTCCCATCGCATTTTCTCTATCTCTCCTCCTCTCATCTCCCTCCTTTCAATTCCTTCTCCCCCCTTTCCATGACCCCGTTTCCCGTCTCCCCTCTTCAAACCTTCCCATTTCCCATCTCCCCCTTAACCTTCCACTGGGCTCACGCTACTGGAGGCAGCCGGCCTGGTGAAGGTGTGGGTGCACTTTGGGCTGCGCTGCAGCAGCAACTCTTCTCATCTCTCCCCTTCCGTCTCCCCGCCCCCCTCCCCTCCCCGCCCATCTCACTTTGGCAGGAGGCAGTGGGCCTGGTGAAGGTGTGGGCGCACGTTGGGCCGCGCAGCAGCAGCATCGGTGTTAGCTCACTACCACCCTCACCATTTTTTGGTTTTATTTTCCTGGCCCCCTTTCTCCACCCCCTTTCCCCTTGGCTCCATTCCACAGGAGGCAGTGGGCCTGGTGAAGGAGTGGGCGCACGTTGGGCCGCGCAGCAGCAGCAACCCCCTTTCCATCTCCCCACCCCCCTCTCCTCCGGCCACCATACCAGGAGGCAGTGGGCCTGGTGAAGGAGTGGGCGCACTTTGGGCCGCGCAGCAGCAGCAACCTGAGCTACTGGGGGCTGGCGGGGTGCGTGAACAACAACTCCATCATGGCCTACACCTTACATGCTGACCGCATCGCCAACTACAGCAGCGGCACCGTCATCATGATCCTCTCCGACCAGGACAGGTCAGCTCTGGTGGCCGACTCCTTTGAGATGCCCTTGAATGGCTGGCAGGCGGGCAGGTTGACCGCATCGCCAACTACAGCAGCGGCACCGTCATCATGCTCCTCTCCGACCAGGACAGGTCAGCTCTGGTGGCCGACTCCTTTGAGATGCCCTTGAATGGCTGGCAGGTTGACCCCATTGCTGACTACAGCAGCAGCACCGTCATCATCCTCCTCTCCGATCAACCAGGACAGGTCAGGTCAGATTTGGGTTTCTTGCACGCACAGCCCGAAGCTTGTGATGCTTCTCCAAAAGTTACTAAAGTCCATATGCTTTTCAAAAGGAGAAAGTAGCCTCGTGGCTAGTCGGGACGGCCCAGTTCTTCAACGGAGCCAGTTTAGGTGAAAGCCGAGCGACTTTTGAGTCGACCCAAAAGTCAAAACGGAGCCAGTTAAGATGAAAGCCGAGCCAGGAGGTGAAAGCCGAGCCATTTGAGGTGAAAGCCGAGCCATTTGAGGTGAAAGCCGAGCCAAGCCAAGCTGGAACCGAGCGCGGTTGGGTTGGACTTTTGCATGATGCACACCATTTCAACCCTTATTATGCTGTGCTACTTAATTGTTTCCTTTCATCCATGCCGTGTCGTCCCTGGGCTTCACGAGCGTTAAACAACTTGAAAGCATGCCACAAAATGTACGAGTAGTAGGAACTAGTGGTGTTGTGACAGCCAACGTAGCCAAGGGGATTTGGTTTTCTTTTGCACGACTCAAACCTTCGTTTAAAGCCTCTTTAATCCAGTCTCTCAACTCGTAAGTCACTATCGACGCGAGCCACCTGTCAAACAGTTTTTTTTTTTTACGGCCCTTCAAAAACATTTCTGGCTGCCCCGGAAAAGAACGATTTGTGAGAACTATGACACTCCGCGCTACTTGGGCCACGGGGAGTCGTTTTTTACCCTATCAACCAAAGAGTTGGAGCTAATTTCGAGCTTCGGCTATCTCGAAATCTGCTACGCCCTTACATTGTTCACAGAAAACCGTGGTAATCTGCGGCCGATTTGACGTTAGCCTTGAATTGTGGACGTGCCAAACCAAACCGGTTCGGCCGAACCTGCCTGGTGTGTTATGTGTATTCACGAACCACGAACCGGGCATAGCCAAAAGTGGTGCGTTTGCAAACCAGCTCGGTTCATTCCTGAACCAATTCAGCTCGCTGATGATGATGCCTATAATCGAATCAATTCAGTTTATTATCTGCTCATCCATATCGTACTGCAGGCTTTGTGTCGGTTCTGGAACACATATTGCCCAGCCAACATGCCAATTCAACATGCCAATTCAACATGCCAAGCCAACATGCCAATTCAACATGCCAATTCAACATGCCAAGCCAACATGCCAATTCAACATGCCAATTCAACATGCCAAGCCAACATGCCAATCCAACATGCCAATTCAACATGCCAAGCCAACATGCCAATTCAATTCAACATGCCAAGCCAACATGCCAAGCCAACATGCCAATCCAACATGCCAAGCCAACATGCCAAGCCAACATGCCAAGCCAACATGCCAATCCAACATGCCAAGCCAACATGCCAAGCCAACATGCCAATCCATATACGCCACCTCACCTCACCCCGGTCGTCACAGTGCGCTCATTCCCTCACCCTGGTCCTCACAGTGAGCGCATTGCCCTGCATGCTTCCTTGCATGCCCCTCGTCCCTGCAGGCCCTTAGCTGAGAAAATTGCAGGGTTTCAGATCCGCACAGTGCTGGGCACCCGCCTGCGAGCCAGTGATTGCCTGTGAGCCAGTGAGCCCGTTGCCTGACTCTGCTCTCGCCCCTCCCCTCCCTGCAGGCCACTGGTGGAGTCAATCATGTGGCTTCAGATCCGCTCAGTGCTGGGCCTGCCCGCCCCGAGGAAGGACTTTTTACGTGCCTCAAAACTATTTGCACGCCCCTCCCCTCCCGGCAGGCCACTGGTGGAGAAAATCACGGGGTTTACGATCCGCTCAGTGCTGGGCCTGCCCGGCCCAAGGAAGGATCTGTACGGAGTGAACGTGTGCGGCAGCATCAACCCCGACCTTCCCTTGCAGCCCTTCACGGACTTCGCTCCCATCGTCCCTCCGGTCCTCCTTGATAGCCTGTTTGAAGGACGGACTATTGCAGTGCCTCCTCTCTCCACTGGATATGTGATGAGTGGTTCGTTCTCTCTCTCTCTCTCTCTCTCTCTCTCTCTCTCTCTCTCTCTCTCTCTCTCTCTCTCTCTCTCTCTCTCTCTCTCTCTCTCAGCCGACTGCCTCCTTCTGAGTCGCCTCAGAAGCCTTTTGAGTTGACTCGAAAGTCAATCCGTCTTGCCTGCTCCCAGCCACATGCACATGGTGTGGTAAGCCGAGTTTTGAGTCAACTCAAAACTCGACTGCTGCCAGCCATCTGTGTGTACTTACATACTTGGTGTGGTAAGCCCATTCATTCATTGCTTGCGACCGCTTGTGTCAGAGGAAACTCCTTTGGGTTTGTTTTTGACAAAAGGACGTCTCTTCATCCGACCCTTGAACGCCCCTTTTTCTTCCCCCGCATGCAACCTCCTTCCTCCCTTCCCTTCGTTTTCCTTGCAGCCTTCGTGGTGCCCATCTTCCGCCATCCTGTGCCAGCCAACGCGTCTTTACAGCAGATCCGTGACGCCATGAGCATTGCATGGGGCGGTGTGTTTCATCTGGAGTTTAGGACCCGTGAAATACTGCAAATGCTTGAGAACGGTGAGTTTGTAAACTTTGTTCCGTTGCAATTGTCTGCCGTGTGAATTTACGTGCTGGTAGTATACACTTCTTGCTGCCGCTCCCCTTGTTCTGTTACTTGCATTGGAGCCATTTTTGAGAAATTTCATTGTTCTATCTTATCTCGTTCCATATTCTTGTTGTCGTAACCGTGCCTTGCTGTCATCCTTGCTTCTTCCTCAGTTATCTGAGTGCAGGCAGGCGACCACCGGCAGATATTAGGCCCCGAGAAACCACTCTTGGAAGCCGAGATATTAGCTTCTGTTTTCCCCTTTGTGTTACCCGCTCTTGTTTTTGCCTCCCTCATCTGATTGCAGGCAGCAGCACATACTCCTTTTCCATGTACGACAACACAGATTCGGGCGAGCTCAAGCAGATAGTGGGCCCCAACAAGCCAGTGTTGAGAACGAC